GTACTTTGCCCCAGTTCTCCAGCTAGCAAGGGACAGAGCCCTTGACATTTCTGCTATAGCCTTTTTCCATTTGCCAATTCAGAAAAAGGATCAGAAACTAGGGACAATGACACCAAGCACTTTGTTCTTAAGCCTCTGCAAGTAAGTACTCAGTGTTTATTATCTTGCTTTTTCTTGTTTTTCCTCTAGTGATTAATAGTTAATCTCTTACAATTAAAAAAGGGCTTTGTGTTTTGGGGAGCAGAAGGGAAAGCTTGCTGGGGTAGCCAGTCTTGGGAACAGAGGGTGCTACAGCGCACACAGGGAGGAGGGCACACAGGGAGGAGGGAAGGCCAAGGACTCCCCACAGAGGTCCTGGTACCAGCAGGGGCTTCCCTGGTCTCTGATGCCAAATGAGAGACTTCCTTCTCTGCCTGCCTTGCCCGGCCTTTTCAGCTTGAGCTCCTTTGCGTCATGAAAAGCTCTACCAGGCTCACCTTCATTGAGCTTCTCCTCCACCTGAGCCTTTCTTCCACCCCATGGAGGGCCAGGGTCCAGATATGGTTTTGCTTAGTCCTAGATGACCTTTTCCTTAGCCTTCTTAGGTGACCTTTTCCTTGGCTTCCCTTCTTTCCCCATCATTCCCCGCCCACCCCCCTCAACTTTTTTTTTTTTTTTGAGCCAGGGTTTCACTCTGTTGCCCAGGCTGGAATGCAGTGGCACAATCATGGCTCACCACAGCCTCGACCTCCTGGGCTCAGGTGATCTGCCTTAGTTTCCTGAGTAGTTGGGACTACAGGCATAGTCACCAAACCTAGCTAATTTTTAAAATTTTTTTGTAGAGGCTAGGTCTCACTATGTTATTCAGGCTAGTCTTGAACCTCTGGGCTAAAGCAATCCTCCTGCCCTGGTCACCCAAAGTGCTGGGATTACAGGCGTGAGCTACCACACTCAACCTATCCTCTACTGACGTTCTCCCTCCAGATTTGAAAGGTAAGGGAAAGAACAAATAAGACTGTGGTCACAGTTGGATGGGTAGGCATACTGGAACTATGGAAATTTGCAAGTGTCCTCAAAATCCTGGCCACATCATTTTCATGATCATTATGGTTACTCAGCATGTTTATTGAGCTCTTAGCACAGGTCAGGTACTTGTGAAGCACTTATGATGCATCATTTCTTTCAGTACACAAGAATGTCCCAGATCACATGGGCAATTGCGGGAAAGTCAGCTCCCAGTGCCACTTCAGAGCTGTGCTCTGAATCCACATGGTGGGGCATCCTGCCTCCCAGGGTCCTGGCCCCAAAGGAAAACAATTTGTCCTGTGGCTAGAGGAACCTTGAAGCCCACCGACCCAGTTAATGCAAACTCTCCTTCACCTTTGCTCTCTGGCATTCAACTTCCTGCCAGAGGCACACCCTTTCATTGGTTTGGACCTGTTGACCTGATGTTCTCATGCTCCTCCTCTGTCTCAATGACATGTCAGTCTCAGGTAGAAATCATGATATCTTCCTATCCAGGCTATTATATCCCCACTTGCTGGACTGACCTGAGTTGGGATTTGAGTCAAGGCATCACCCCAGCTAACTCCATGCTCACTCTGTCCTTCTTAGACAGAGGGCTGCCCCTTCTCTTCCAAAACAATGTAATGGCATGGAGGTATCCTGCAAATGTTCAGGGTTATCCTAGATTATGGGCAGGTCATTGCATGTGTTAAGGATGACCCAACCAGGCTCTCCAAACCAGGGCCCGTGGTGCACCCTGAGGGACTCTGCCCAGTGTGGGACCAGGGTAGGCCTCAGGCTCTGACACCACCAGCAGAAGGGCAGCTGCTGTGCCAGCAACTCCCATCTGGACCACCCAGAGGGGGAAGAGGGCTGAGAAGTCAGTCTGGGAGGATTAGCTCCTGGGTTACCAATTCAGGATCCTTGATCATCATCAGATCCCCAGCATCAGCGTGATGCTAGGCATACTTTTAAGACAGTTTCCCTGCACAGGATCAGAAAGGAATGGGCTTAATTTTGAGATGCGTAGACATGTCACCATAGGGTCTATTCCCGGCAAAAACCAGTCAGGTCCAAGGATCTCATGAAAGGAATGCTGTCAGGGGTCAGGACCCCTCTGAGAAATTCCTTACTTGCAATGGAGGTAACTAGTTAAAGACTTGCCACCCTGAGGCAGAGAAACACAACTGCTGTTATCTGCCCCCCAAAGGAGAGAGGCTCCTTGCTTGCACATTTGCTTTCAGCCATCCTCACAGCCCGGTTAACAGGAGCCACATATCACATCCAGGCTTCCTAACTCTGCATGTGGATGGACCTCTGTCTCATGTAGTTCCCATGATTCTGTGGGAGATGGATTTCAACTTGGCAGATGGCAGGTACCCTCACCAGGGATGCAAGCCGGCAGCGACTGAACCTGGACTCGTGTGGTTCCCACATGCCTCCTCGGACATTTCTCTGTTACACTGTATTCCTCTTTTGCAGAGTAAGTCCTGTCTTCCTGGCTAGATGGCAGGTCCTGGGAGGGCATTGGGATCTGCCTATTTACCTTATCCCAGGTGTTAATACAAGTATGGATGGGTATAATTAACTGCATTTGAACCGAGACTGATTTTTTCCTACCAGACCCTCACCATTGCTTCCACTTTTAACCCAAGTATCTCAAAAACTTTATTTTTTCTTCCCTTTGTTGACCTCTGTCACTAGACTCAGAGTTTCTGAGTGCAGGCAGTGTGAAAAGGGCAAAATAAAAATAGCCACTTGTTTGGTAATAGAAAGGAAAAATTTCTAAGTACGGTAGGGGAGGGCACCATATTTACAACTACAGCTAGCTGGGAGAGATGCAGAGGGCTGGGCAGAGGTCCTCCTGAGAGCTGGGCCTGCTCTGAGGCAATGCAGGTGGTTCTTCCTGGTTGGTGGAGACAGGTAGGGAACACAGCTAGTCAAAGGTTCTGCTTTTGTTCTGTCTTGACCTGTGCCTGTCCCTGGGCTCATGTTCCCTGAAAAGCTAGCCTACTGGACTTCACTAGGATGCTTCCAATATGAAGTGAGGCACCAACGTGCAAGGGACCTCTTCAGGATGGTTTAGTTGTGGAATCCTCTACCCCTACTAACAGGGCTTTCTTGAATCAGGTTTCTCTGCCATCATGCCTACTCCCACAATGGTAGTATAATTGTTCCTTTTCTGTTTAGGCTCTTTCCAGTTGGTACTGTTTGTTGTCCCCCCACCCCTGGCCTGTCTCACTCTACTGCCCAGGCTGCAGTACAGTGTGGCATAATCACGGCTCATGCAGCCTCAACCTCCTGGGCTCAGGCAATTTTTCTGCCTCAGTCTCCCAAGTAGCTGGGACTACAGGCATGCGCCACCATGCCTGGCTAATTTTTTGTAGAGACAAGGTCTTGCTATGTTGCTCAGGCTGGTTTTGAACTCCTGGACTCGAGCAATCCTCCTGCCTCAGCCTTCCAAAGTGCTGGCATAACAGGTGTAAGCCATGGCACCTGGCCAATTGTTGCTTTCACTAGCAAACAGTATACAGAAATAAAAATAAACACAGGTGTTTATTTTTCAGGAAGAGAGTAAAGTGAATTTTGTGTCTCTGGTACTGGAAAAAGATTTGCCCACGGACCCAGTGGTCAACCTAGGACCCGCTCCTCTCAATGCACTTCTGCAATGACTATAAAGATGTTTGTCTGTCTCCTAACCCCTCACAGGGGGGATAGTTGTGGTCTTCTCCATGCACCCTGAATGCTTGGTGCTCAATTCATGGTTGTTGATTGACACCTAGGTAGGGCTGACCAGGAAGCAGTCATTTCAGGGCTAGGCCTGCTGTGGCAGCTGTCAGCTCATTTTCACATGCAGCTGCCCCAGATGGCCAGTCACTATAATTTGGGGTTAGGAGTTTGGTTCTTGAAGGCAGGCAGCAACAAAAACAACTACCGTACATAGCCAAATAATATTCACAAAGAGCTGTTCTGTCGTGTTCACTGTCTAGGGCAACTGTTTCCACAAGCTTAGTGACATGGTGCTGTAGTATCCTTACCCTCAGTGTCAGATGAAGAAATGGGACTGAGAGATGACAATCTGGAGGGACCAGGATTTTTGCCTTGGCTCAATTTCTGCATCCGTAAAATGGAAATTATACTACCTACCTCTTGGGTTTGTTGGGAGAATTAAACAAATATTATATATATGTTTACTTGCCTACTGTCGGTTTTCTGTTCTAGATGGTAAACTCCAAGTAGCGACTTGGGCTTGTTCATGGCTATATTGTCATTGCCTGGAACTAGTGCCTGGTACATAGTAGGTATTTAATAAACATTTGTGCCTAAATGGATGTGACAGGAGAGAACCCCAGGACAGAGCCTGGTCCTTCTAGAACCCTGGTTCCCCAGATGTGCCTTCCACATCAGGCAGCCACTGGCTGATGGAAGCATCTTTGGGCTGGGGCTTGGGGAACTTACTTCCGGCCTTGGGAGGTCAGCAAAAACCCCAGAAGTGAGGTGAGAAAGGTCTTCAAGATGCAGGCTGCAATGCCAGCCTAAGCCCTCAGGTTCCCTTTTTCTTTTTTCCAAATCAGGAAAAGCGTTTTTCTTACCGCAGAGAGGGCCACCGGCCCCAGGCTGAGCAACAACCGACTGCTGGGGACGGAAGAGGAGCCTAGCATGTGAAGCTGGGTGAACGGAACAGGAACTGCGAGAGGGGAGACCAGGAGCAGAACTGGCCTCCGCGGGCACCAAGCGCCGGGAAAGGCGGGGAGGGGCGGAGAAGAGCCCGGAGGCGGAGCGCAGAGCCGGCCTCCGTCCGCGGCTCCCGCGCCGCTCCACCTTAAGCGTGTGGACCCCCTTAAAAGCGGCGCGCGAGCCGAGCGCCCGGAGGCGGGGCCTCTCATGCAAATGAGGGGCG